TCCAGGGACTGAGACGAGCTACGCTTGACTCATTACAGCTGAAAATAACTCCTAAAAGTATACATAAATCCCCGAGCCACACACTGCTATCCCTGCTTTGTTACAAGATTACTTTTCAAACTATTTTTAGTTTCACATCTATGCATTTGGAAATCCATTACAAACCGCAGCACGGTTTTACAAGATAACAGTTATACAAGATCAGAGCTTGCCACTATTTTATATTTAATGACAGAAGTGAACTCCTTAAATCAAGATACTAGAAATATTTCATTTTAAATACACATGATGTAATCCCCAGTTCATAATAGCAACCCACATTCTCACTTTGAAAACTCACACAGATGAATTGCCAATTTTTATAAACGGTACTGCAGCCAGGCTTGAGTAAATATTTCTTACCCCATTACTTGCAGAAACTCTGAAATGCAGACGTACATTAATGTGCGTATTTTCCGTGAAAAACATTTTATTCACTTTCAATAATTTTAAATACTTGCCCGTTTTTAGTTTTGTTGTGAAAATATGGACATGAGTGGCCAAATGTAAATTAGTACTGTCTCCAGTATGAATCAGGGTTTGGCTCATAAACTAGTGGACACATCCTAACTGTAACTGTACATACATTACATTAGAACATCCAAAAATAATATTAATGTACCCATTATATTATACCAAATGCAATCTGCACTGCTACCTGTTTTCTACCTGACAGGTTACGATATTAAAATATTCCTTCCTTTAAAATGTATTTCAGGCATTGAAACACATCACGCATTTAGAAGTATATATAAATTTTATTTTCGAAATTGACAATTTCATAGAAGCATGATGCGCCTGTTCCTCAATAATAATTTATGTAACTTTTATACCATAGCCCTTACTCTATTGAGATCATTCCCATATCTGGCTTAGTACGCTAGCCCTACATCTTTTATGCGTTTGAAGACAGGAATGCTGAAATAATCAATAGTCTTCAGCGAATTGGGTCAGACAGCAAGAGCTACTGTCCTCATTAACGCCAGCCTCCACAGGAAAAGTTAAAAGAATGGCAGAGTAAAATGACAAGGCCTCGCATAGACACATTGGAAACAAGGCACGTAAATCCTGCATTAGACCTGTCCAATGTGAGGTGAAGCACCTCTTAAAAAAAAACACCTTTGAGCTTGCACACCTGTAGAATCTTTCTACAGTAAAAAAGCAGCACAGGTCGCCCAACCCAGAAATGGCACTTGACACATCGGATTTCATTTAATAATTTCATAATCCTAGTTGAGTGCTGCTCGCAAAAAAGTTCTTCATTAAAGTAAATAACCATAGTTTTTATTAATGCTACGTAGTGTAGAAACAACAGCTTACTATTACAAAATCGGTAAGAACTCATCTGTCGTGTGAGTACAGAAATGTTTATTCTGTGGCTTGATGGTTTCTCGTCAGGTGTGATGCTCTTGCGGATTCAGAAGTCTTAAGTCAAAATCTTACAGCTGATACAGTGCATCCGAACTCTGCTAATGCACAGTACTGCAGGTGTAGCGCTCTTCATGTACAAAAAGGTTTTCCACCACACACACACAAAAAAAAATCCCTTATGATGCAACTGTGTCAGAGGAGCAAGCAGAAAAGGGGAAGAAGTATCTTCAAACAAACCTCTTTTGGTTTGGCTACTTACATGTTTCCTCTGTGTGCTTGACACCGCAGAGATGCTGTCTGCAAGTCTCGACTCCCTGGTAAGGTGTCACCAGATAGCCCAGCTGCAGCTTCTAATCACCCTCTGAAACCTTCAATGACAAGCTTCACTTCCTGTTTCCTCCCCTGCCAGCTTTTTTTTCTCCTTTTTTTTTCCAGGACAGCCTGTGTTACACTCTCTCAGATCAACACAACAGAGTGCCAACAGGCCGGGCCTTGGTACTGACAAATCAGGAGTTTTTTTTTCTTCCATTGTGCATATTCACACCACTTTATCCACACACAATTAGAAAACAGCTCTAACTAAGATTCTAAGATGTCAACTCCACTCACTGAACCATTTGTAATAAGGTACTAGGCAAACTATACAGTACTTATTGCACAGGCCCAGGATTATAATCAATCTGTATTTAATAGTTGTGCTTTAATAATAATAAAAGTGCAGTCACATAAACCCATTTTAATGATGTCCCTTTACTGTTTAATCACAATTCATAAAGAAACTAAGCAACTTCAAATTGTATCTTGTGCTAAAATTCAAATCATCTGTTAATTCATGAATGTAATGATCAAATTAATCTATTAAGGTTAATAAACAACTGTATAGCGCCTTGCAAACGTATTCCGACCTTTGCTCCAGTCTCACAGTCTGCATTAAAGCTTGCAGTCATGACACGTTAAAGTGGCAATTAATATTTTTGTGCAGAGAAAGTACTCCACACATTCAAAGCAAAAAGCAAAGAGTAAATAGAAGTAAACAGATAATACGAAAGGAAAATGGAGAAATAATGATTAAAAAAGTATTCCAATCCTCTGCTAACCTAATTTTATTTATTTATACAATTTTATTGTAAATAAGTGCATCTTACACTCAGCCTTATCTCTGCTGTCAAGCATGGTTGTGTCAGTCTTATGTTAAATTTCTGCTTTTCATCAGCAGGAACTGGGAAGACTGTCAAGACTGATGGGAACATAGATGGAGCAAAGTACTGGCAAATGTTAGGGGAAAACTTGCTTCAGACTTAAACCTGGGACAAAACTTCACTTTTCACCAGGACAATGATCCAAAGCACAAGGCCAATGCAACACTGGAGTTGCTTACAAACAAGAAAGCGAATGTCTTTGAGTAACACAAAGACCTGATTGGAGTCCTATTGAGAAACTGTGGAACTGCTGTCCATAACTGACCACCAAGCGAGAGCAAATCTGCTGAGATGAATGGGCAAATGTTGCACCAATCCAGTGTACAAAGTTTTACCTAAAAGACATGTGGCTGTAGTTGCTACCACTGATGCTTCCACCATTATTGAGCTCACAGATCTGAGTGCTTATTAAATCACCACATTCATTTTTTTTCTCTTTATTTTTATTCTGTCATTTATTGTAATTGAGCTCACCCTTAGAAGTGTTCAGGTTTGAACTATCACAAACTTCACAGATTTGTAGGGCATTGTAGTTACATTTTCGCCTTCCACCTTTAACTTAGCAATCTTTAATATGTCTTTAAAGAGTTCAATAGCTCGTTACTGTGCCTTGAAACCAAATAATCTTTTAAATCATAAGGCTTGGAAAGAAAACATTGACAAGTGATGTCATGAAATAAGTAAAAAAGCATCCAGGGAGTAATGATGACAGCCTTTTCATTTTCAGATTCAGAAAGGCATGAAATAAAACCGATTTGAACGGGGTCAAGCCGCTTGGAACTGTATCAGATTTTTTTTTCTACCACAACTAAGGTTAGTTTGAATCACAGAAGAAAGTGGGAGCTGACTGAGTTTGGAAATGTGGAATATGTTGAGCATGTATTGTTAAGCCAATTGCAAGAGATGCAAAAGAATAAGGCTAATTGAAGCTACACAAATAACTGCACTCAACACTGAAGAAAGTCGTACTCTTTAATAAAAACAGTGGGATTTATTTAGTTAGTAATGATTGCAAAATGTTTACCCTAAGCAAGATTACTTTGGATGCAAGCATACTTAGCCACTTAGTTGGACAGAAGTTTAGCTTTTGAAACTCAAATTGCTAAATTACAAGTTAAAAGATAAATATAGACTTGGCTTCCTCTATTGCACAGCTCTTGTTTTTTGTGTTTCATTACGAATGCCCTAGTGTTTTTGTCTATAAAATAGCCTCCAAAATGTTGTTTAGAAAACTTTATGCGTTATATAATTCTGCCGTAGGATTTGTTATACAACAGGCTTTCCGTATCTCAGTAAACTCCCCATTCCAACAGATTTCAGATTTTATGCACAGCAGACTGAGTCCCTGTTTCAGTTTTACAGAAGTTTAATTCTGAAAACCCATTATCTAATTATCTAACTACCCAGTTACAAAATAGTCCGTTCAAGACTTTCTGAGGTTAAGATGCTCTCGTGGCATGATCAGAAAGCCATGAATTTCTGTTTAAAAACATCAGAACATGATGTGTCATATCAAGATGTAAGACTTACAAGAATATATTTAGCTTTCTTTTCACGTCTAAGTACACAGATGCGCTTACAATACACATGTGTGGGAAAGAACTCCAAGTACAGACAAAATCAACAGTGTTGTGCAGGATTTGTACAACCTGTACAAATACAGGTTCAAAGCAAACAACAGCAGACACAGACCCATATAATTAACAGGCCATTATCAAAAGGGTTTCCAAGAAAAAGCACTGTGACGACAGCATTGTTTCCACCATACAAGGTATGACAAACAGTGAAAGTACGCTTGGGGACTTTGGTGTCCTGCACACACACAATTCGGGTTTCTTTACAGCTACGTGTAATGCCGTCACAACACTATAGGCCTCCACCTTAAACAAATCAAGAAATGACTTAAAAGAGAGGCTTGGGCCTCAGTTTATGATCCAGATTAGTAATGCACTTGTACTTGCATGTGCATGTTGGAGAAAATAAAATAGCAAACAGAAAGAACTTTGAAAAAAGCTATTAAAGATCTTTTAAAGGAGAACAAAAGGGAGAAAATAATACTTCGATGGACAGTTATACAAGTTTTCACAACACTACAGTAGCAAAAGGACTGTTAATATTTGAATGCAGTACATAAAAGAATGCTAACACTGAACTTGTTAAAAACATTTTCTGAATGCTACTGGAGAATGCATGAATACCTTTCACATTATTCTGAGTAAGACCTGAACAGAACCTCTTCTGTTACCAGCAGGCCTTCTGTCCTTGTGATAATGTGACCACACGGTGATTATCTGAGGCGTCTTTTTCAAAAGTTTTGATTGGACCTAAAACAATTCACAAACAATATACTGTAAAAAAAATAAAATAATCGACGAATTCAATTTGACTCACCACGTCTGGGAAACCAGGCCTGATATTTGGAAAACTTTCTTTGGATTTTCCGCGTTTCCTTCCTGTGTAAATAAAAAAAAATATCAGGATGAAATCACTATTAAACACTTTCCTGCTTTTGGAACACTACAAATAAACAACAAAGGATACTTATAATATTCAAATATTTGACACCTTCTTATTATTTCACATAATGATACTAAATCCATTCCCTTCCAATGAGGTACTAAAGCACCTCAAGCCTTTATAAATCCAGCCCATACACTGTACCTCTGGGAAGTCCATTCCCAGGCTATTGTTAAAGTAGCATTGAATTATAACAAATAACCTTGACTCCTAGCTTGTGGCTATAATCTTATCAGGCAGCTAGAAACTAAAGACTTGTCTTAAGTGAATCATTAATGTATTCTGCTGACTCTCCCTGTATCTCAGAAGTGGTGTGGAAACCACAGTATGCAAACTAAAGGTCAAGGGTTATCACAGAACAGGCATTAACACACACACCTATCAAGGTAAAAAGGATTAACTGCTCTGACTTTTCTAGATGTGCTTTTAAGGACCAATATCAATAATTTCCTCTTTTACAGGAGCATTGTCTGCTGCTCTTATTTTATGAATTATTTTGGTTCAAAGGATTTTCCACACCAGATGAAAAATGATTAAAACATTTGTATGTTTGCAATTTAAACTCTATGACAGTTACTACAACTGACTTAATTGTTTTGTTTTGTTTTACTTTTGGATTGTAACATGTTTAAGCAGGGTGACAGTTGTCTGGGAATATTCCTCTTTTTGTGATACTGGGTCTTTCAAGCTGAATACTAATATAAACATATATGTTCTAGACATATTCTTGTCAAGTAAATGACAAGAAAGATTACTCTAATGAGCTTACCTTGATGTTTTTTTTACATTGATACCATAGTTATATCTTACTGATGTTATGGTTTCTTATAGTACCAACATGTACACCTTGCTTTACAACTGACTGAATGCAATAGAAACACACTTTTTAATTCTTGAAGTAATGAAAACACAAAGCAAGATGAACTACTTAGCTTCACCATGTTTAGCCTCATTTTCTCGTTCTGAGCTCTCATTATGGTATTAGCTTTAAAGGGTTCAAACACATCCACAAATTCAATTTTTAAACTGTGGTAACCAAAATGGAAAACAGTATAAATGCGTAAGACTATATCATTAAAACAAAATGACTGAATATACCTGAACATATTTTAAAAGTTATAAAAAAATGAAAGAAAAATATAAAATTTGTCTAAATTCAGTGGTATCTTGAAACATTCTGGGCCAGAGACAACTCATGTAGGAGTTACTTTTAATCCATGTTGAATACATTCACTCTAGTTGATCTGAGTTCTCTTACTGACTTTCCAGTCTGGGTCATCCCAGAAGCATTCTAGTCCAGCCAGGACCCAAAGCAAAGCCTAGACTGTTTTTTAGTGTGTGAGGGTGCAGTTGGTTCAGACAAGATGGCCGCTCTTGTCTGAACTACCATCCTCAGGAGGCTGTGTGGAAAATCTTGTCACCTTCAGTTCCCTGTCCAGCTGTTGGAAGACAATTTGCCGGATGATGATTTCTCAACGACTTAAGACTTGGGACCAGTTATAGGTACAGTAACCAACTGTCCAGCTGATCCAATTAAGCAATAAAGAGCTCATCAGCTCATCAGGCACAATTAAAACCAGAGGACTCAGTGACGCTCCATGACCATCGGAGATCGGTCCAAAACCTGAGAACCCACACTTGCACTGCCACCTCTACACAACAAACCGACACAAGTTAGGGTCAAAGTTTTCTACAGACTGCCAGTCATTCATTAGCTGCAAACAGTGCCTAGCAGGCCTCATCATTGCAGAGCACACACTCATTAATATAAGGATAATGAGGGCTTAAAACTATTTTTAAAAGTAAAAATGAACCACTTTTCCTGTAAACACATTTTTGGTTTTCCATACTCTAATTAAAACGAGTTTTTATTCAGGTTTTGATCTTTTCGGGTCATTTGATGTCCTTCAAACTTATTTTGGATGCAACTAAAAAAAGATCATTAGTGCTGGGGGAAAAAGTCCAGATATTCAAAGCAACATCTTCTCAGATGCATCCAAACACGAAATGAAATGTCATTATTTGTCAGAATTTGCAGTTGACGGCGCGTAACTCAAGGTTGGACTGTATTTTTGTTCAAACAAGCCTTGCTGGAATGATTTACTCCTGACAACATGGGAAAGAGGTGGCATGGTAGCTAAACAAGAAATATGCAAATAAGTACAATTTTCTTGAGCAAACCTCCAAGACAAAACAGGTTAGGTCACTCAATTTCATTTTCATATCTTGCCTCATTTCATTTATCACTCTTTTCTTTCTGTTTTCCCCTAGTTTATGTAAAACACTCACAGATAAATAATAATAATAATAATTGCTTACACTTATATAGCACTTTTCTGGACACTCCACTCAAAGCGCTTTACAGGTAATGGGGATCCCCTGCACCACCACCAGTGTGCAGCCCCATCTGGATGATGCGACGGCAGCCATAGTGCGCCAGAATGCTCACCACACATCAGCTCTCAGTGGGGAGGAGAGCAGAGTGATGAAGCCAATTTGCAGAGGGAGATTATTAGGAGGCCATGATTGGTAAGGGCCAATGGGAAACTTGGCCAGGATGTCGGGGTTACACCCCTACTCTTTAAGAGAAACGCCCTGGGATTTTTAATGACCACAGAGAGTCAGGACCTCGGTTTTACGTCTCATCAGAAGGACGGCGCCTGTTTAAAGTCGATACAAATACTTCACCACATCATTTAATCTCCAAAATCTGTTACAACCTTATGGAATTTTAAACCCGGGCAGCAAAAAAGATCTCCCCTCATCTTGTTGAAAAATAAATAGGACACAGGCATACAAATTGAGAAATGTAAAAAATGTGAAAATATTTTTTTAAAAAGCACTTGCAGTATGGCATGATTTTGTGTTCACTTAAGAAGCATAACACTTTGCAAAAGCCATCATACCCAGATATAATGCCAGGTGTTATTCTTACCTTTAAGGGACACAGTGATAATTAATTTTGACTGTTTTAACGCACTTTTTATTTAACAATAACCTTCCACTGAAACAAAATTTGAACTTACACATACCAGGGATACAGAACTGTTTCTTCACAAAACTGTACTCCTGGGGTTTTGCCAAACAACTGTCATGCAACATGGCAAAACAAATTACTTAAAACTAAATTAGCATGATAAGACAATACATAATTGGCTAATAACAGACTTTGATCCTAGCTAATCAAGGGGTCACGCCAGTACAGCAGCAGCTTCTCACACAGAAAGTCTGCTGTTTTACCCCCTGCTGTTATTCCTGGGTTAATTGTGGAAATTGTATTGAAAAGAAAAAAACCCCACATAAGGAGTTTTCTATTTACCAAAGGCAAGAAACACTGGATTCACAACTGAATGAGGCACTAAGCTAGAAATAAAGTGAGACCAATATCAGCACTTGGTGCAAATACCACTTCCAGTGATTCTGTAAATCACTCTGTTGAAGCGTTAATACAGCATCTGAAAAGTGGAGCTGAAAAGACGATGTAAACAGGGTATTCATACAGTACAGAGAGGTGAGCAATACAGCAAAAAATGCTGCTTACCACATGCCCTGGCCAACACAGCAAATTACAAGAGCTACTGCTATACAGTATGAATTACAAAGGTAGAGGCAAAAATTAAGGTTTAGCATCATAATTAATGTGAAAAATAGGGAGAAAATCACATTTCAAGTTTACTTGTGCAATCATACTTACGATATCACGCCTATTTTTGGAAAAAAAAAATAGCTATATTACTGCGCGATTGTGGACATTTATGGCAAGAAGCATTGTTTTAAAGCTTCTGTCTCTCCACCCAATAATAATGCTGCTCAATAATGTAGAAAAACACACGTGAATTTGAAACCAGGGAGCTAATCAAGCCCTAGTCCTCTTCCCTCCTTTTTTTGTTTTCCTGTGTTTTGTCAGGCAACATTTCTTTTTCAGCCTCGTTAACTTCTTTCACGTCTCCTTAGCATTGCCGAGCAATCCTGCAGCTTCCCCCCAATTTACCAGGAAGCATTTTCACATGGATCTTGTTAAAGTCACCTAGGAACCATGCCAAAAGCTGTTACAGCTATGTTGATATGACTGCGGCATGCCAGTTACAAGAGGTAGAGTGAGGCTTTTAAATGGCATATTTTGAATACACCATTCAACACCTAAGATGGCATTTCTGTTCTAAGGAGACATGCGCTGTCATTAAACATTCCCAAAGAAAAATAAGATACAATGTGCCCAGGCTCATAGGCTGGGGGAAAAACCCTGAAAAGAAGTATATTTAGCACAGAAGAGGGGATTGAAAGACAGGAATTTCTCATACAAAGCTAAAGAAAGACCATGGCAACTTGCAGGACTCCCAGTTGAAAAGACCAGTATGGGGGTTCCCCCTTACACTAATGAAATTAATTAGAATCTGATTACAGGCAGTTACTCTTCACAGCAGTTGGCTTGGCTGAGTGTCCTACGGTTACTTTAGTGCACTGATTCAAAGAAGACTTTCCCGTGCAATGTAAGAGACAGGGGTGTCACAGTGGCACAGTAGTTACTGCAGCACTGCTGCCTTGCGGTGCTGGGGTCCTGGGATCAATTTCTGGGGTGCTGTCTGTGTGGAGTTTGTATGGTCTCGCCGTGTTCGTGCTTTAATCCTCTGGGTGCTCTGATCTCCTTCCACAGTCCAAAGACATTCCGTTAGGTGAAGTGGCTTCTGGGAAAACTGGCCCTGGTGTGTGTGTGTGTGTGTGTTTGCCCTGTGATGGAGTGGCGTCCCACCCAGGGCGTGTCCTGCCTTGTGCCTGTTGCTTCCTGGGATAGGCTCCAACTCCCCCGTGACCTTGAATGGGGTGAAACGGATAGAAAATGGATGGCTAGAGGTAAGAAATAACGTGCTCCTAACATTAGGTTCCTTTAAGTAACTAAAAACAACCTACATAGTGCTGGAGTGCATTTTTCATTTAC